CTCACCTGGCTGTCTCCTATTAAATTCTAAGGGTTGGTGATGATCAGACTTCTCCTTTGTCATGTGCTAATAAGGAAAAGAATTTATTTCTTCTCCATGTTATCTCAGAAGAATATATGAGATCCCATTTATGAAATGTCCAGAAAAGGCAAACCTAGAGATTAGAAAGCAGACTCATGGTTATCTGGGATGACGGAAGGGAACAGGGAGTAAGGGATCCTTGCAAGGTGATGGAAATGTTCTAAAACTGAACTGTGATGATTGCTGGAAGGCCAGAGGCAGATGGGCCCCCCAGAGTAAAGCAATCGGAGATTCATTCTCTATTGATGGAAACTCCAAGACAAGAATAGCAGGACAATTAAGGGAGGCGGCTGAGCCCTGCTCAGACCACATATTTCTTGAAGTCAGGAGACTTCCCTGACCATACACGCGCAGAAAGGCTCCTTGGAGGCCAGAGGAGAATTCTGTCAAGGGATGTTCTACCCAGACACCTTTTTGGTAGAATCCATCCTGGCTAAGAGATGTGTGCACACACAAGGGTAGATCCTGAGATACACCAAACATGGACTGTGAACCAGGCAGATCAAACTGATTGGCCAAAGGAAAACTGGAGAGAAGGCCCCAAAAAATAATTCAAACTGCCACAAGGGCACAACTCAGGGACTCTCCCTCTGAGTCTGCCCATGTGTCTATCCACACATACTGTACTCTTTTTTCCCTCCTAATAAATACTTTACTTGCCTCAGTACTTTCTGTCTTTGTAGAAATTCTTTTCTGCAAAGCCGAAGGGTCAGGGCCCTTGTCACCGACCACTGGTCTAGTAGTTAGGATCTGGTACCTTCACTGCCGTGACCCGGCCTCAGTCTCTGACTGGGAACCTAAGGCCCACTCCAAGCCACTGCAGGCTGAGGCCCCCCGAGATCAGCTGCACAACTCTTGAAAAATCCTTGAATTGTACACTTAAGATGGGTGAATTCTACAGTATATAAATTATACTTTGATAAAGTTGCTTTTAAATAAAGAAGTCATGAGACTCTATTAAACCCTAAAGCTACTAAGGGCTACCTTAGTACCATACCTCTTACAACAGGCAATACTATTTATTTATGGTTCTCTCCCCTTTGACCAGCAAAGTCAACAATTTCCTACTGTAACAGCAGAAGGGGTTAAAGTTCTAAACACAAAAGATTTACATACACTTACATTTCTAACTCACCACACTTGTTCCCCCTAAAATGAAAATCATTTCACCTTTTCTCAGCAAGGTGACTTCTGACAGGAGAAGTGTGAAAAAGCAAGTGGGCTCAACAGCTCACTGAAAGACAAAGAGAAGACCCTAGGAATAAAAGTGGACAGGAAGTGACTCTGGACACAGGGTGGGGGGTTGGCACAACCGTCTGGAGAGGGTAGAGGTCAGGGAAGTTGTGAGGGGGTAAACAAAAAAGACAAAGTTTGTGCATATAACAGCTTCCCTTGCTGCCTGTCACTCACATTCTAGTTATACACAGGGCTTCTAAACAGAAAGTTCCCAGCAGCTGCCCGATTGGTCAGTTCCCTCCACAGGCTTGCCCCAATGAAAGGAACTGGCATCACCGAAAAAGCTGTAGCAAAATATAGAATACTGGGTTAGGGGAAGGGACTTAATGTCTCAGTGGACATAAGCACAGCCCGGGAAATTCCAGCCCCAGCAAGTCTGCGTCTGCGATCTGAACTATATTTAATAGCTTCTCAATTCATCCCCAGTAGTTTCAGTTTCCCTCACTGAGGTCTTCTGTGGCCACACCATTTGAAATTGCAGCCACAGCCACCAGCCTAAACTCCTTTCCCTGCTTAATTTTTTTTTTTTCATTTTGCTTGTCAGTACCTGACATATAATAAGTAAACTTTGTTTACTTACTGTCTCCACTGACTAAAATATAAGTTCCATGAGGATAAGAACTTTTAGTTATTCACTAATGTATCACCAGAAAGGTAGAAGCTGGGGGAAAAAAAAAAATCTGATGAATGATAAACACTATTGAGAAAGCAAAACAGGAAAGAGAGGAAGGGCATTGGGGTGAAGGAAGGTTGCAATTTGACATGGAGTGGCCTGGAAGGCCTCAAGGAGGAGATATTTAAACAAAGACCTGAAGGCAGTGAGAGGGCAGGTCACAAAGCCAATATCAGCCACATGATTTGCAGGTCCCAAGGTGACTTAGCTGGTAAAGAATTCACCTGCAATGCAGGAAACATGGGTCCGATTCCTGGGTTGGGAAGATGCCCTGGAGAAGGAAATGGCACTCCAGTATTCTTGCCTGGAGAATCCCATGGACTGAGGAGTCTGGCAGACCACAGTCCACAGAGTTGAGAAGAGTCTGACACGACTCAAGTGACTGAGTACATACACACAAGGAAAGTGAAAATGTGGGGCCACTGTTAACAAATTAGTAAACATTTAAAGACAGCAACAGCAGACCATTAACTGCAGGATTCCTCTAAGCGTGGGGTTTATGTGACTGCACAGGTCCCCCAGCTATGACATGGCCGTGCACAGAGCTATCAGGGAAAGTGCTCCCCACAGATGGATGGAACAGCAAGTTCAAAGATCCCAAGAAGGGACACTGCATTTTGAATGAGAAAAGGGGCCATGCTTATAAAACAGGAACATTCCTGGGCTTCCTTTACTGGATATTCTGATCCAGTAGGTTTGAGGTAAGCTCTAAATCTCTAATTTCTCATTACCTATGCCTTCAAGCAATTTAATTTAAATATGATGTGGGTGATCTTGGCAATCAATATGAGAAACTTAACTAACTCAACTTCTTTCTGTTTAATTGAGGAATGAAAAACCTTTCTGCCTTAACTTCCACATAAAACATGAGTAAATTCAATTAACATCTGTAGTTAATAACTGCAATAATATCACTTCACGGTTATGGTGAGTATCTGCACTTTTACTAGTTCTGTATAACCAGTGGGAAGAGTCTCTAAAAATTTCATCAATTGGAGTTCAAAATCCAAAGTAAATGAGAACCATTGGTACTCAACCAAGAGGGAGGGTTTCTCAGGGAATATGTGGATAAATTTCTAGATGGGAGTGGGGGGATGCTAGTGGCATTTACTGGGCAGAGAACAGAGATGCTGCTAAATATCTCACAATGCACAGAACAGTCCCCTGAGACAAAGAATTATCCAGTCCCTAGTACCTAGAGTGCAGTTAAGAAACACTAAAATAGATTGTGGTTACAGATTATAGTTCCCAACTCACTATATTTGAGCTTAACATCTTAAAATTAAGTCTTTATAAAGGTAATGAAAAAAACTGACTTACACTTTAATGAGAAGAGATGATAAAAGTTATGAGGAACAGGATCTACATCAGTGAAAACAGGGATTAGAAAGCATTTGATCAAAGGTGGAGAACTGCAGTGAACAGATGTTCAGGAGCTCTGAGCAACCCAAATGGAATCATGGAGGGCAGTGAGGAGCAGAGAGACTGCTATGGGGAGGGGCCAGGGAAATGACACTCTCTGGATATCATGGGTTCCTAGGTACAGTGAGCCTGGCCTAGTATTAAACAGAAAAGATGCACAGAAACACAAAGAACAGACCATCCTTCTGGAGAAATCAAAATGAGAAAGATAGCTCTTGATAAGACTAGGATAAAAATAAGGATGGAAATCAGAAGTAATACCTAGAGCAAAGCAAATGCTTTATCACCATGCTAATTCAAGCTAATCTCAATGAATAAGCATTGGAATATTGGAATGGAATACTGGAAAATATCCTTACCTCTCATCTGTAAAAAGGAGATTAATTACACCTATCTCCAAGCCTTAGGAAAATCAAACTGAGTAAGAACAAGATGGTACTGGACAAATGCAATGCCTGGCACACAGCAGGCACTCAACAGAAGGTGTAGCTACTGACAACTTCCTAACTGCTTCTTCTGGCTCTGACTCAAACCAGTCCCCATGAATGCAAATATAAGGACTGACGTTCTATGTTCACATTTAGAAACTCCCAAGGGGGCGGAATAGGACAAACCATGGCACGAAATCCTCCGTACATGTCTGCACAGCAAGATCCCTGCTCTCAGACTGTTTGAATGATAGTAGGACCTGCCAGGTAAACACACACCAGCTTGGGTGTGCAAATGAGATGACTCAGTCTCTGTCACTGGTGAAGAGCCAGAAAGAGTTTCACTTGCAGAGAAAGATAAAGACAAGATCACCTTTCTTCCTATTGCTGTCTAGGGTGCTTCAGGGAAGTACATTGAAAACTGATACAGGACTCACATGTTAAAAGGCCATCACATAGTTCAGAGTTAATTATAAGTAATTTTAATGAAAAATATGCTCCCTCAGGTTTCCATGTTCTTCCCAGAGGTGTAATGCAATAGGCCCAAGAAACAGGCACACCGGCACTTATAAATTTATAATAAACACAGCTCTCCAGCTCACCTGGACCACATTCTTGGCCGCTGCTTAGCGACAGGTGTCACATGCACACTTGCCAGTGAGCCCAGGAGTGTAATTTCACTTCTAAATAAAGAAGTATAATCAATAGAACCAGAACCACCCGGCGGGAACAACTGTACCCTTCCTGACTCATCATAGTGCTTGTTTACCCAGAAAACAAAATTCTCTGCCCAAATCCAAACATCAGTTCGACGTCCAGGAAATATTACATAGCAGTATGACCCAGAATGAAAATCGGGCGAATCTGGGTCCAGGTGGTGCCGATGCCCTGGTCCTCTTTGGCCTTCCTCAAGAGGCAGATCCTATCCGAGTGTGGGCAAGGCATCGGGAACTCGATGCGCCCACCCGGGAGAGGCTTCACGGCCCGCCCCTCTGGCTACCAGACCGGCTCTGGCTACTGTCGCTGTCCCGGCAAAGCGCGCTGGGCGAGCGCTCGAGGCCGAGCCGCCGGGGGCCACTGGCTGCTCCTCGACGCCCGGCTCCTCGCGCGCCCCGCCCCGAGCCGCGATGCCCCCGCCCGCGGCCGCCAGCCCTGCTCACCGAGACTCCGTACTTGAGCGCGATACCCTGCAGCGTGTCGCCGGCGCGGACCCGGTGCTCCACATGGCGCTCGATGACGCCGGCGCCCAGCGGCGCCCGCACGCTGGCCGTGCTACCGTACGAGCGGGTCTTGGTGCGTGCCAGGCTCAGCGACAGCTCGGCCTCCTCGGCCTCGGAGCCCGAACGCGAGTGCGGCGGCGAGGGGGCCGAGGACCAGGGCGCACGGGGGCCGCCTGCCCGCAGGGACGGAGCGGGCGAGGAATCCGCCATGGGTCCTGCGGAGGCCGCCGGGTCGGGAAGCTCGCCAAAGGGGCGGCGCCTCGTCCGCCGCCACCGCCTCTTCCTCCTCACAGGGGCTGCGGAGGGCCGTTCCGCGGGGGCGGCGGGCTAGAGGCCTCGGTGGGAAGATGCGGGCCCGCCATGGCGGGCGCCCCCTCCTCCGCGTCCGCCTTTCCAGGCCCACCTGCAGGAGGGAGAGCGAGACGAGCTCCGGCTGCTGCCCCGCGGACCGCTCGGCTCCACCCTGCCCACCCGGCTGGCCCCGCGCTGCGACAGGCGGAGAGCGCTAAGGCTCCCGGCAGTGTAGCCACGGGGGCCCCCATAGACGCCCTCGGTCCCGGGGTGGAATTCTGCGCTGGGTCGACAGAACCCCACTCTGCCCAAAGCAAAACAACCAAAGCTTCGCTCTGCTCCTTTATTTATTCCACAGCAGGCTTCAGCTTTCTTACATCTTCAACTTCTCCCAGCCCCCATTACCCCAGGACCTCACAGAAAAATTAAGACCATTAAATACACACACTTTCTCCAGGCCCATTTCAACAGCCTTTCAGGGTCCGGTGCCCTCAACACTCCGGGGAGGATAGTGCTTCTAAGGCCTGGTGTGATCTCTAACTACCTTCACGCGCTTTGGTTTCACTCTTCATTGCACACCAGTGCCAATTTTAGTCCTGCGCTGCCTTGCAAGTCTGCCTAGCTACAGTCCATTCTCTTGGCTCACTACTTAGAATTTACCACTTGCCCCTAATTTTTTTTTAATCATTTTCCTCCTTAATACCCTGAAATCATGGCTCCCCAAAGTTTTATCATTAACTTCACCAATGGCCTCTTATCTGTATTATTTATCTGAACACCCTCTCCTCAGCTTTCTGCCTGCTGATAGTATTCTACATGGAGTGGGTGCACATTTATTAGAATCTAGCACTCAGGATTCTGTTGTACTCTGGACAGCTCTTAAAGAGGAGGTACTCTATCGGCAGATTCGGAGACTGGAGATTTGATTCATTGGCTGAAATTTCGATATGTGGCTGTGCTGGACAGAGACAAAGGAACGAGAGTTCAGAAGACAGAATAAGAGATGGAGAAGAAAAAAATGGCCCCTGAATTACCATCCCACTCAAAAATTCTTCAATGGTTTCCTATGGACAACAGTATTTGTATAACTCACACTGGCACTCAACTCCTTTTTTGCATTTTTATTGTTCATACTCTGGCTGTACCCCATCTACAACTCATCCTGGAAGCTTCATACGCTCCTGCCAGACAGAGGCACTTGAACTTACCCCTCCGTATCTTCATGCCTGGCATATGCTATACCCTATGCTTGTAAGCCTTCTCCAGTCTCACTGTCTACATTTAAGAAAAATTTAAGGTCCATTCCAAATGATACATCCCCAAATGAGATCTTTCCTGTTTCTTCCCACCTGTACCTGTCCCCCATATGCCCACTTGTTATTGTTTCTCCACTGAACTCCAAGGTGGTTTGTACCTCTTGCTTAGCATTTAACTTGTGTTTTGTGCCCCACACTTATTTTTATATACATACTCCTGAGAGGTAAAAATAGATCTTATTTAGCTTCAGCGGTGTGTACTTAGCTCAGTGCCTTGAATAAAGCATCGAAAGTATTGATAGTTGAATTGAGGTGGAGTAAAAAGATCCTGAAAGCTGTACTAGGTTATTTAGCAAAAGTCTTCTATGGATGAACTTGAACTCTTGGGTGGTGTCCAGAGTGCCCATCCCAGGACCTAAGAAAGAGGCAGAATGTAAAGGAGATCAAAGTATTCCAAAATATAAAGGAGATCAGGTTTGATTTCAAGAAAACAGGAGAAATTGACCTCAGAGCTGAAGTCTAGTAGAGAAACAGCATTGGAGAAGGAAATGGCAACCGACTCCAGTGTTCTTGCCTGGAGAATCCCAGGGACAGGGGAGCCTGGTGGGCTACCGTCTATGGGGTCGCACAGAGTCTGACATGACTGAAGTGACTTAGCGGCAGCAGAGAGACAGCATAGAGCATATCTTCCACTAAAGAAAAGTCTACCAAAGAACTGGAAGTCTTCATTTGAAGATTAATGAACTGGGTTCTATGAGTATTTGTTCTTTGGAAAGGGTTCCATGATCAATTACTTGAGGAAACACTGCAGTCTCTATTTGCCTTTTGGAGAGTCACAATGCACATTAGAATACTGAAGGCTCTAGAAGGCCCTGTAGTAAAATAAGCTATTGACTTCTGCTTGACACTGTACTTCTCAAACTCATTTGACCATGGAACTCCCATTTTTCCCTCAGAATTTCTACAATTTTGGAAGTGCTGATATAAAGTGGAGAAAGACAGGCCTAAATAAGGAAACAGGAAAATGACTTTGAGAATCAGAGATTCCCAAAAGATGGAACAGTACACATAAAGGGGCAGAAAATGATCACTGAATTCATTCATAAAATGACCAAATCCTCTGTTATAAGTGCAGGGGAAAAGTTAACACCAAAAACGTACAAAGATTCATAAGCCACCCCACCTCTCTCTTATCAGGACTAATTTCTAAACTGTCCCTAGTTATTTTTAATTTCTCCAGCCTTAAGAAAACCCAAGTCATAAAACACCTTCAAAACAGTTGTAAAATGGTCTGAAATAAATTCAACATAATTCTCAGGATTTTCTCCATGATTCCTTTTTGTGATCAAAAAGCTAAGAGTTTCCTCTGAAACTGCAAGTTGCTCAGCTGTGTCCAACTCTTTGCGATCCCAGGGACTGTATAGTCTATGGAATCTCCAGGGCAGAATACTGGAGTGGATAGCCCTTCCCTTCTCCAGGAGATCTTCCCAACACAGGGATTGAACCCAGGTCTCCCTCATTTCAGGCGGATTCTTTACCAGCTGAGCCACCAGGGAAGCCCCTTTAGCTACAAGTCTCCTCTAGAAGCCCCTCTAGAAGTTTCCTCTAGTTCTCAGAAATTAATCAGCTTGAATCAATGCTTTTTTTAATATTATTTGGTGAGAGTTCTTTGTGAGTTGTTTTTTCCTACATAGATTTGCACTGTTTCCAAATATTTAGTCTTCCTGTGAATTTTATACTGACTTCTCCCTAATCCAAAGTTAAATATCTACATTTGCAGCTCAGACTGAATTTTTTGTATATACATATATTTTTTTCCTTCTTCAACTAGAACTTCAAAATTAGTTTTATGTATATCAGCCTACAACATAAAGCAAACCTCACCACTAGCGGTGAAACATTAGAAGTACTTCCTTTGAGAACAAGAATAAGAAAAGGAAGGCTTCTGATACTGTTTCTATCTAATTTTGTTCTGGAAATTCTAGTCAATACAATAGCAAAAAGAGGGAGAAAGGGAAATGAAGATTGAAAAAAAAATAAACTTATTTACTGATAATAAACAATACTAAAAGATTTACAGGTAATACAGATAATATCTAAAATTGGAACTGTTCAAACTATAAGACACAGATCATTATGCAATTGCCAATTGAATCAAACAATCAGAAAATTTAATTGTGGAAAGAGATCCTTTTAGATACCAGAGGAAAAATTAGGAATAAACTTAATAATAGAGAAGCTTTTTATGGAAAAAATATTACATTTTATTAAAGGACATAAAATAAGATGTAAACAAAAACAGATACTCCACACTTATGGATGGGAAGATACAAAATAATGAAAATTTTCATTTCCTTCCCAAACTAATACATAAATACTTTGAAATTCCAACCAAAATTCCTATAGGAATTTTCAAAGAGCATGGCAGGCTTATCCCAAAATTCATATAGAAGATAAAGGGCTAAGAAGAGCCAAGACTTTCCTGAAGAAGAATGAGGGAGGGAGACTTAACTTCACAGTCATCAAGAGTTATACCAAAGGGATGAGAACTAAACCATTACAGTAGTGATGCTGGGAAAGACAAATGTAACAAAGGGACATAAAAAAAAAAATCCCAGAAGCAGACCCACACATATCAGAGAAACGAACCTGTGTCCAAAAATGCTGCTGCCACAATTAGTTATCCTTGTGGAAAAAAGTTAGATCTCTTCCTTATACCATATGTCAAAATCAATTGTACATTGAGTAAACATATAATTGGGAAAAGCAAACTTTAACATGTTTAGAATATCTTTATACCTTGGGATAGCAAAGAATTTCTTAAACAAGATACCAAAAATACAAACTACAAAGAAAAAAACTGGCAAATTATACACATAAAAACCTCTGTCCTGAAAATGTACCTTAAAATTTGAGTAGACAAGGTATAAAATTGGGGAAATATATTTGAATACACATAATTTACAAAGTATTACTATCCAGAATATGTTAAAATTCCTACAATTAAAAGAAAAGCATCCACTAAAAAATGATTAAAAGATATGAATAGACAATTTACAGAAAATAAAACTCAAGTGCCCGATGGAAAGATGCACAGCCTCACCAATAAGCAGAGAAATTCCATTTAAAATTCCATGTATAATTTCATAGGCATGAGATTAGCAAAAATAGAAAAATTGGACAATTAAAGTCTTAATGAGAGTCCTATTGAACAACAGAATTTCTCAAACAGTGTTACTGGCAGTGTAAATCGGTGCAGCCACTTTGAAGAGCTATGGGACCATGTCTAGTAAAGCTGAAGACATTCATATCTGGTTCTGATTCTGGCAAGCTGGAAATCTAAACTAATTTGAAGTCCTCCTAACACAAGTATTTACAATTTACTTCTTAATGAAATTCATAATTGAGCCAGCAATAAAAAAGAGACAGCCTCATATATCAAAACAAGAGGAATTTGAAAGCTAGACCAAAAACAACTTGTCTAAAACTAATACATGAAGAAATAGAAAGTCTGAATGGTTCTATAACCATTAAAGAAACTGAATCAGTACTAGAGTTTAAAATCTTGTTAGCAAAAAAAATATTAGCATCAGAAGATCTTATTGGAAGATTCTGTCAAATTTTCAAAGAACACATCAATCCAATCTTGCGTAAACTCTTTCAGAACAGAAGTAGCAGGAACTATCTTCAAATCGGTTCATAATATAACCATATTTATCATGGTATGGCCATAGCCAAAACCAGCTGAGAAAGTATCACACTCATAAAGAAAGATATAAGAATCTTAAAATATCATTAAGCCAAATCTAGCAGTCCATACAAAAAGTAATCCATCATAAACAAGATGACTTTATCCCAGAAACTCAAGAGTGCCTTAATATTGACATTAATAGATTTAAGTGACAGAATCAAAGAATTAGTCTAATAAAGGAGGGGCAAGACCTTTATAGAGAAAGTTTGTAATTTATGAAAATACATTGGGGGTTTAGTCACTA